ATGAAATGGCAAGTTACGCATTTTCTTCACTCCTTTGCAATCGAGCTAAGATCAAAGTGTTGTATCTGTTCGCCTTCTCTCTTGATAATAGACGAAACGCTCAGCATTCATTGAACAAATAGCCAATGCTACTCAAGTTACGCATTTCTTCACTCCTTTGCAATCGAGCTAAGATCAAAATCTGTTCGCCTTTCTCTAATGATAATGGCAATATTAGACGTTTCCTCATAATGAAACGCTCAGCATTTATTTCAATGCTACTCAAGGTTACGCATTTTCTTCACTCCTTTGCAATCGATAAGATCAAAGTTTTCGCCTTCTCTCTAATGATAATGAAAGTCGTTTCCGCATTCATTGAACAAATAGCCAATGCTACTCAAGTTACGCATTTCTTACTCCTTTGCAATCGAGCTAAGATCAAAGTGTTGTATCTGTTCGCCTCTCCTAATGATAATTAGACGTTTCCTTATAATGAAACGCTCAGCATTCATTCATGCTTGAACAAATTCACCTTTTAAACTCCGTTTGCATTTCGAGCAATAAGATCAAAGTGTTGTATCTGTTCGCCTTCTCTCTAATGATAATGGCAATATTAGACGTTTCTTATAATGAAACGCTCAGCATTCATTGAACAAACAGCCAATGCTACTGATTTCTAACTCCTTTGCAATCGAGCTAAGATCAAAGTGTTGTATCTGTTCGCCTTCTCTAATAATAAATATTAGTCGTTTCTTTATAATGAAACGCTCAGCATTCATTGAACAAATAGCCCATGCTACTGTTACGCATTTCTTCACTCTTTGCAATCGAGCTAAGATCAAAGTGTTGTATCTGTTCGCCTTCTCTCATTAAGTCGTTTCTGTTCTTATAATGAAACGCTCAGCATTCATTGAACAAATAGCCCATGCTACTCAAGTTACGCATTTCTTCACTCCTTTGCAATCGAGCTAAGATCAAAGTGTTGTATCTGTTCGCCTTCTCTCTAATGATAATGGCAATACTTGTCGTTTCCTTATAATGAAACGCTCAGCATTCTTTGAGCAAGTAGCCAGTCCTCCTGTCGATTGAAATTATAAAATCATTCTTTTCAAAAACTTTTTCAGGAAAATAGATTTTCTCAAGTGTTAACTGTTATCGCTCTTCCAATATGGATGGGCGTTTCCTTTTTAAACTTTTATAAGATTTAGTGGGGTACGCCAACATCTTGATTATGTCATTGTTTTCCATTCGAGTTACATGTGATATCCATTTTAGAAGTTGATGCTGTTGTCCTCAAGTGATGTGGTTTCTGTTATTTGGTAGTTCTTTGTGATTCACGTGGTTCGCAGAATCGTAGTCCTCTCTAAAACCTATTTTAATAATTGATCCCGGAAAGCAATTGTATACATTTGACAATTTTGACATTCTTGAAAGGGTTTGGTGGAATATGAAAGTTTCGATCTGAAGAGGCTAATTAAGAGCATGACCAGAGATTTTAGATTTTTCAGTTTTCTTATATTCTATACTAAATTTGTTATAATTGATATATGTACCGAGATAGTTGAAGTGTTTAGTAATTATTAATTCTAATTCTTAATTTTTAGGATGGACTAGACCACCCGTTACCCGTTGGGTCAACCTTGTTGTATTACTGTTTACATTTAGTTTCATGAAGTGTTTGTGAAAGTAGAGATATTTTAAAAATACATTTATTTGCAGTTATTGAAGTTGCTTTTTAACATAAAAATTGTCTGTTTGAAGAAAGTTGAAATAAAAATACTTACTGTATAAACAAATCGTATTTTTAAATCATATTATAAAACATTGAAGTTGCTTTCAACATTAAAAATTGAAGAAAGTTGAAATAAAAATATTTAAAATATTGTTTGTTTAAAGAAAGCTGGAATATAAATAAGCATACACGCAGTCACGGGAAGGTGGAAAGCGAGAGAGAGAGAGAGAGAGAGAGAGAGAGAGAGAGAGAGAGAGAGAGAGAGAGAGAGAGAGAGAGAGATGTGAGTGGAAAAAGAGAGCTTATTTTTCTCCATTTCCTTCTCTCCCTCCGCTTCTGACACGATAATAAATTCATATCTTTCTTTCACCCATTCTCTATATATTACTTCGGGCAATCACACAAGCAACGTTCACAGACTCTTATTGCAATAAAAATTTAGGGTAGGTGTTCTCACTGCTTTAATTCCAAATCCAGCTCATATTTCTTTTTTCGAAAGGTTTATCTGAGATCTTCTTTGAACACTGGCTAAAATGTTGAATTTTTTTTTTATTCAAGATGCAATGGATTCCTTAATTTTATGATAATTGTGCAGTATGTGTAGAAAATGGTTCGTAAAGTTTTAGAAATAAAGATTTTGAGCTGGCTGACAAAGAAAGCTCCGGAAAAGTGATGAGACGGAAGAAGCCTTTTCAAATAGATCCAATAAAAAATAACAAGTGGACTTGCGTAAAAAAAATTAAGGATAAATCAGTTAACTCGTTTGCATGATGCGCTGCAAAACCTTTCGCGGAAATCAACCAATGATCTTGCTGCATTGCAACATACGTCCTGAAGTTGCAAATGAGACGCGCCAAGCGACCATGCAGCTGGTATAGGAATTATTTCCACAAGTAGAGTAGTCTCTACACTTATCATTTTCAGGCTGTCACTTGTTGTGCTTCATGCAAGATTCCTTGTCAGGTTCCAGTATTTTGAAGGTACTTAAAATTCATTAACGGCTGAAAATGGTTGAATTGGCGCCATTTTAATTTCGCGCATGCGCGTTGTTTGTTTTTGATTTTGACGACTGCAAATTATAGTAGGGTCAGTTGGGCACCGTCTGTGAGAAAAAGAGCCCCATAACGCAATTCACTCCTCCAGAAATCTGGTAACGACCTGCTGTACTGTTTGGCATTCGCGTCGGAGGCTACAATACGAACATTTCACAGTGTTTGGGTGTCAATCAGATGACAGTGTATAGAATTCGAAAAGGGCTGAATGAGTCTAATGGTGATTATGAACCTGTTTGGAATGATCACTAGTGATGGCGAGGTTATGCCTCCATTCATCTTTCCACAATGACTTAAACTCAACATGGAGGCCTACATGAAGTACCTTGAGGATGTAGTGATGCCCTGGGTCAAGAGGGTGGCTGCTGGAAGGCCTTATGTATAGCAAAATGACCTTGAATCATGTCACACAAGCAGGAGAACCCAGTCATGGCTGTGTGACAATTTCTGCGACCAAATCACCCACCTAACTCCCTAGACTGAACCGCCCTTGATTATTATATGTGGGTCACAGTTGAGCTAGAGACCAACAAAACTCATTGTAACAACAAAGATGAACTAAAAGGCAAGGATTATGGCAGCATTCACCAACTTAAACACGGAGACCGTCCAGAAAAGATGCAGGAGATTCCGAAGTCATCTGGATCTCGTGGTTGAAGCCAATGGCGATTTTATTGAATAAATTTCCCCTTTAGTATTTAAAGATATTTTTTGTGTAATTTTGGTAAATATATCTGTTAAAATGCGATGTCAGTGTTATTTTAATTTTTTTTTTTTGCGGCATTTAGACGACAACTTATCCATCGCATTCTGTATATAAATTGAAAGTTATCTCGGCCCCATCATTTACTTTAGTATAATAGTTATCTTTTTACTGTAGATTGCAAGTCATTTCGGCTCTCACTGTGCCTTCCACATTTGTAGCCTTGTCTCAAAATTAAGCTACACTTAATTCATCGCTATAATTAAACATATCCTTAATACTAAGCACACATATCCTTCATAGTATGCACACACACACACACACACACACACACACACACATGGAATAAGAATGAGAATAAAAATATATCTGTGTATAAATTTGTATGTGGATGTCTCGACGTGTGTTTTCACTCTCAGGCCTTTGATCCACCAGAGACTTCTCAATATCATTATCTGGCATAACTGCTTTCATTAAATAACACACCTGATCGTACTGTTTTCTTTTATCTTTCGAGTGTCTAGCCACTGAAAAATTACCATCAAGATATGATTATGGTTTAATTTCTCCAACTAAACGTAGTCCGAATGAGGCTGATGCAGTGACATTTTGAATTCGATACCAACACCTTACTGTGATAAATGGTTATTAAACAGAAATGACTACGAGACGCTTTCGGGAATGTGCGGGTGTATGCTTGAGGTGTGGGCGTACTGTACTGAATTATCCCCATCCCCAAACCATCCAAGAGACTTATTTCTGGCTAGTGACATTGAAATACGAATCTACCTACGTAGCTGTTTTACGATACCTTCTATGGCACTGAGCCACAGTACCCAGTAAAGATCAATTACGAGAAATGTCATCGATGACGTCTGAGATTTAATTTTGTTTTGCGCATGTTTCGCGTTTTTTTTTAACTTATTTATTGCTGGTCACCTAGTGAGGATCGAAATCTTTACACAGCTCATTAAGACTAATCAACCAGTCACCTTTCTGTCTAACAAAGGGCCGAAATAGAATTTTTCATTGTGGGTTATTTCCGGTTATGGATGATTGCTAGCACCCATGACTTATTTCTACGAACCTTTCTGGATCCACAGCGACCTTACCTACATAGAAGTGGATATCGGGTACTAAATAATTGAGCAATTTGTCTCCCTATTCAGAATGTGAAAGTAGCTTAGTGGTTATTGGCATAAAAAAGGATTGACATGGCGAGTTCAAATGTGCTATTGCATTCGCTTTCGTACAAATCCCCTGGGAAACAGTATGAACCCATTTTTTTTATTGATTTACGGCTTATCAACCTTTGCAGATTATTTAAAGCCAGAAAATATTATTAGATTGTAAGATTTGGAGTGGGGGAGATAATAATAATTTAGTGATACAAGTCTTACTAATTAACCCATAGATTGGAGGAGAAGTGTTGGATTCATACCTTTCCCAAGGGTATTTGCGCGTGAATTGAAATTCGGCTCACGGATTAACAATTCCAATCCATTATCCATTTTATCACCCGCACATTCAAATT